TGTGTGCCTGCAGACACTAGTGTGGCACAGCTTAAAGTAAATCAGGTGTCACTTCCCTGCTTAAAGTACTTTGTAGCTTCCCATTGCACTTAGAATGAAATCCACACTCAGTCTGTGAAGCTCTACACATCCACTTCCACTGACTTTCTCACTGAATCTCAAAGATTGCAGCCTCCTCCTGGGAATCCTTCAGTTCTTAGAAGAGGTCAAGTATGTTACTGCAGCCTTTGCCCTAGCTGTTCTCTCTGCATGAATTCTCTTTCCCTCTCTCTTTGCAGGACTGACTATTAGCACTCAGTTTATATCTGAAACGTTATCTTTCAGGATACCTTCTCAGATCACCAGTCCAAAGTACCCACCCAACACACACATACACACATTTACTATCTTAATTCTTAGGGCACTTTGCTCACTGATTAATGTTATAGCACCTAGAGCAGTGTGTGGCATGAAACAGATGCTCGGTAAATATTCAGCGAATAAATGAATTTGTGTGAATGAATGAAGGAATGGCCATATAAAATTAGCTGCTAAAAGTGAAAAATAATCTAAGCCTCAGAGCTAAAATATTTACAAAACATTAACTTGTGTTTCTCTAATTGCCTCCACTTAAACTGAGGAAAAGAATGAAAGTCACAGCTGAAATAGCACATATGGCAAATGTCCCATTTTGTGTTTGTAGCTGGCAGGGCACGGGTTCAAAATAAAATCCTTTCAAATTACATTATTAGTGAGATCTTTTCTGACCTCTGCGCTGAGTCATTGTTTATCTTACAAAAAATTTAACAACTTTGGAAGAAGATGTGTTTTCTCAGCCTTGTAGAAACAGAAGGAAAAGAAACCAGCTCTAAATATGAGGAACGAAAATATTAAGTGGAATGGAGTATCAAATTTGAAGTTAATTCGATATAATAAGTAGTATTATTGCTTAGAAAATCATTGGACATAACATCTGAACCCTGTGTTTCCCTGGTGACAAAAGTTGATTCTTTGTTTCACTAACTCCTAAGTTCAGAAAGACTTTCTTAGCTCAGCTGTAACCTTCCTTCATCTTCATGTTGTCTTCAACTTTCAGGTCCTCTCAAGTTCCCTGGGGCTTTCTGCTGCTCCATGTTCACTTAGCTAGTTCAATAAATTTTCAATAAAATTATGTATTTTATTTCTATTTTTGTCTCCACCATTTCCCTCCAGGGAACCTTGTTTAACACACATACTTCATACATAACTTTGGCCAATTTACACCATTCAGGCTGCTTACTTCTTAATTTTTAAAGCACTGGCCAATCTGCTGCTTCAAGCTAAGACTTGTCCCAGGCTCTTTGGTGTTGTAGAAATCAGTTAACCAAGATTTCTGAAAGCAACTGTTTCCTTTCTGCCCTCAGGTACTGGGCTTCCCTGCAAGAATGCAACCTGGGTAGATACTGCTGCTTGCTGCTGCTAGAAATGAATTCAAAATGCAGAACTGTTTTGCCAACTCATCTTTCATACACACCTGTGCCATTATTTATATCTGTTCTCCATCAACCTCCTGGCACAAGGAGAGTCTGCCTTTGGCTTTTGGATCTCTCCTAATTTGCGATTTAAAACTTTCTTGGAGAGGGTCTGTATTTAAGATTGAGTAATTGTGTGACTCAAAAGGAACAGAAATGTGATCCTTTCAAAGACATCTCATAATGCAGAGTTTTGCTAATTTAGATGGATTTCTTCCCTACCCTGAATTCTAATGCATATGTTTGTTGTATTTTAGCCACCCAAATCACTATGTTCTTATGAATGCCTTATTGTGGAGGTCTACTGGATAGAAAGACTGGCTTTTCTTAAGTTTTGTCTTCAGACTTTCATTTGGTTTGAAACTTGATACATTCTGACAGTCCCATATGAAAAAGAAAGATCTAAAAGTTTCTTCACTTTAATTCATTGAGAACATTCTGCTTAAAGACTTTTTTTAAAAGTTCGATAAGGAGTGATGCATAGCCTTGTTCAGTTCATTCATTACTGCTTTCTCCCTGCTTCAATTTTTTAAATTAGTACTGCTCACCAGAATTGTAACGAACCCTTACCTTTAAAGGAATTCTCTTCCCCAGTACATGTGACCTTCCTTTGCACTTGGCAACACAGTGTATTGCAGTGGTCTGTTTTCTGGTCTGCCTCTTCAAATAAGGAAGTTATGGACTCTGGATATCTTCAGTTCTTTCCTAATACAGTGTCTAGTCCATAGTAGATCATCAACAAAGAGCTGAATGAATAATCTCTGCAGTTGTGGGAAGGGAGCAGTATGGTGAAGCCCATTCATCTCCCTTTTCTGAGCACATACCTCTTCCTCCTCTCGTTGCACAGACTGTTAGGTCATAGATTAAATCTCATCCTATGATCCACAGATCAAAACCTGTTATGATTTATACTGCTGTCTGCAATTTAATACCCACATACAATGAAGTCAGCATTGGATAGACAGGCCACATGGTGGGTATTTTTCAGTCATCCACTAGGAATCAATTTTAATTGAGGCACTGTAGAAGTTACATAAGGAAGATAATGGGTCGAGACCATCCCTGGAAACCAAAATTTCATAACTTACTTTAGGAAGTGAAACCACGAGAATTTTAGCTAGGGCATCATAAAAAGAAAATAGGACNTTCACTTTCACTTTTCACTTTCATGCATTGGAGAAGGAAATGGCAACCCACTCCAGTGTTCTTGCCTGGAGAATCCCAGGGACGTGGGAGCCTGGTGGGCTGCCGTCTATGGGGTCGCACAGAGTCAGACACGACTGAAGCGACTTAGCAGCAGCAAGGAACTAGATCCCACATGCTGCAGTTAAGACCTGGTGCAGTCAAATAAATAAATGACTTTTTTTTTTTTAAAAAAAAAAGAAAGAATAGATGTGATAGGTTAAATGTGGCAAGCAAACAAACAAAAGACCTTTGCCTGTCATTCAATCAAGACATAAGCCAATCTCTATGTGAATCTGAGCTGGCCTTAGGACTTGTACTGAGAACAGAAAGTGATGGAAGTGATGTAGCGTGACTTCCAGAATGGAAACCTCACGGAACCTTGCAGCTTCTGCCTCCACTACCTGGGAATGCTGCCCAGAGTCTGACAGGTGAGGAAGCCACAGTGGCCTCCTGGAGGATGAGGCCACCCAAAGAGAACTGAAACGCCCTCTGTGTCAGCATCTTCCACCAACTGCCCTTCCTGCTGATGCTGGAGTCACATGACTGAGCCCAGGTGAAATGAGCAAGGGGCCCCACCCAGCCAAACCAAAGAATCATGGGAAAAAGCAACTAGTGTATTTCAAGCCACTACATCTGGGGAGAAGGTTTTATATCTAAACAGACCACTGATGTGAAACAAGCTCTTAGGGAAGGATGAGAAGTAAAGGGTGACCAACAGAGGTGGATGTCAACAGGGTCCTGGCAGCTCAGTTCTGGAAAAGGCCTGCATCTGGCAGACGTGTTTCCAGTCTACAGATGAATGCACTGCATTACTAAGGTCTGAAGATATTCCTTATGTAAATCATGTATGTGTAATTAATTGTCTTGTTCAGATTCTGCACTCACCAAGAAATCCAGTTGTTTGACTTTAACTTGTATGAAGCCAGACAATGCTCTGACCAGGCCAAGAGGATATCTGGCTTTCATGACAATTATATTTTTTGTAAGTGAATAATTTTCATTTTCATTGAATACTTAAAAAAATAAGGCCTTATCTGCATCAAAAATTAGCCTTACAGTTGATATTTATGTTAAATTAAGAGAAAAGTTCTTCTGCTTACTAAAATGAAATGTCTTTAAAATGTAAGCCTTTTTTTGTTTCTTTGTTTTTAGCTGCCCCTACTCAGCTTGTGGGATTTTAGTTCCCCAACCAGGGATTGAACCCGGGCCTTAGCAGTGAGAGCACCGAGTCCTAATTACTGAATGACCAGAGAATTACCTGTAAAACATTTTAAAGTATATAACGTACAAAGTAAAAATCGTCCATGCTCCTACTCACTTTATACCCTAATAATAATAATAATAAATAATTATTATATAATATTATTAAACCAGGATTAAATACTCAGTCTATATACTTGTACACATATACCGGTCAGTATATATCAGTTCACCTATCAAGTTTACTCTTCCTTCGGACAAAAGCTGAAGAATCACTGTGCTTACAAATTTCTTTAGCCATCATAACATTTCTCTCTAGTGTATTGGAAGTATTTTTAGAAGAAAATCAAACTGTAAATATGTATTTTCCTCCTGTTATATTAAAGCCTAAGAACACGTATTCCTGCACTTCAAGTAGAATGATTAAATGCTAGGAAGAGTAGCAAGTTCCCTCTCATGCCTGGCCCCTGCACATTGATCGCCTCCTCCCCCAGGCCAGTTCCATCACTCAAGAGTTGTGAGTTCTGCTCCTAAAGAAAACAGGGGTTTCTACAGCCCACTACTGTGTTAAATTGTTTAAGCAATCTCTCCATGTGAGTCTTATTTAACTAGTGTTCTAATTGCCTATTCATGTAGGAAACTCTTCATCTTGCATAACATACTTTGTGCCATATTTGGAATAACTCTAGACATTTAAGCCCAAGAGTTTTCCTGGTAATCGTAGCCTTAATGGGTGTTTAGGGCTTCAAGAGACCTACCAGTGTGATACAGGCAGAAGGCTGAAGCGCACTGTTTTAGCACAGGGTGAGCATGTCATTCTGGGACCAATCTGAAACCCCAAACAAAAAACCACTCCTGTGAGGGGGAGGCACAGAAATAGGAGAGGTTCTTGAATCATTACTGAAAAGAGCTTTGGAAGACTAGAAAACTGTGCTTATTCCAAATTCTTAGGTGAATAATGCAAATTAAACATATAGCAGATAAACTAGAATTATTTTTTGAGATATGGTTCCCCACCAAAGCATATGTCCTAAAATAATTTCAGATATTATCATTTCATTGTATATAAAAGCTGAATTTTTGAGCTAAGAGTGCTGTTCAGAGAGCAACGCACACAATACTCACTCTTTTGCCAGCTCCTTTGATATTTGTTCCAAAGAGCATCCTTTTGTTTCAGGTATAAACACAATAACAAAAACTAGGGATGCTAGACTCATAATTGTATATATAAAGCACACCCACGGCAGGCCAATGAGATCTGGGGGAGACAAAAGAAACCGGTTAGAGATGCATTTTGTGTTGCTTCCATCCCATTTGTGGATAGACGCTTCTTAGAGCACATATAAAAACATATGTATTTTCAAACACGCCAGGAAAGCCAGGGAAATAGCAATCACAAATTAAAAATATAGCCAGCATCTGAAAGGTTCATTTTCACAAACAACCCCAGCTTTCTTTGGTGAAGTGAATAACAGTCTTGTAAGGATCACAGTTTAAACCCAATGCCATTTTCTTGGTGAACATACTTTTTGTTTTCAAAATGGTAATAGGCATGTTCATTGCAAAACAAACAAACAACAGAATCTCGAATAACACAAAAACACATAAGGCTGAAAGTAAGCTATCCTCAAACAACACACAAATACGCAAAGCAGAAAGTAAGCTCTCTCCTCTCTCCTAACCCTCTACAGTTCCTCTCTGGGGAATCACTGCTGTAGCAGTTTGGTTTCTATTTGGTCTACATTTGTAAAGACATTTATACAAATAGACTCGTCTTGGAATGAGCTCCCCCTTCTTTACTCTGACTTGAATAAATCACTTCATGTTGGCAGTATTTCATCATTTTAGTAGCTGGCACTGTTTTTGCAATGCTGCTTCCTGGATTCAGAGGGGAAAAAAAGTGATAATGGTTTGAATGAAGGATATTAACTTGCTAAGAAGCATCAGCAAGAAGCAGGGTCCTCCAGGTTTTGATGGATCTCATCTGCTAACCGAGTTTTTCCTCTGGCAGCTTCTTGCCAGAGGTACTGTCCCTCTGCAGTACTGACCGAGGTCCAGGCAAGGTGGCTAGTGAGAGGTGGCCTCCGATGCACTTGAGCCTGCCCTTGCGTTGTGGCGTCCTATGCACGGCAGAAAGTCCAGTGTCACCAGGAGCAGAGAGGAGGAGCCTGGCTCAGACCAGCCACAGGCTGAACCAGGGCAGACAGCCCTAGTGGCCACAACTCACAGCCAGTCAGTCGGGAACACTGACCGAGCAGCTTTGTGAGAAGGCAGTTTGGTAACAGAAGAGTGGAAGGATCCACACATATTAAACACTTGTAGGCCAGCTGTGCTGAGCTGGGTTCAGAAGGAAAAAAAGCCCGGTACTGCAGTCCTCCTGGCGATTTTAATTAAAGTCTGCTCTCTCCTGCCTTTCTTGCTGCTGGGGCATGTTTTCCACCAAGCGAGTACTACTAAAGAGCTTAAAGATTTGATCTTCCTTCCCTCTCTGGGGCATAAAATCAGAAAAGTAGAAGATGGGGGAGGAAAAAAAAACTCATCTCATCAAACTTGTCCCCTTTTCTGTCTGAGTACTTACGGTGGCAGGGAGCTCACCACTTCTAAAGATGTGGACTTCATTGTGAATCAGCCTTGTCTGTTTCAAACATACTCCTCACTTTTTTCTAAAGCCAGGTCTCCCTTCTGGGAATTTGGGTTCAGAGGCTCCGTTCTGTTCTCTGCATCAGGCTTCCTCATCCCTTCTTCATGACATGCCTCAAGTATTTGAATGCATCCCTTCCTGAGCAGCCTCTGGTCCAAGTCAAACACCCTGAGCTCCCGCAACTGTTCTTCACGGACCATAGGTCATATGCCCATGTCATCCGGGGTGCCCTCCTAGGGGGACACACTGGAACTCTCTAAAAATATTTCACTCAGAGCTGAAAGCCATACCCAGCTGTACTACGACCGCAGGAGGGTATGTCTGTGTCTCTGGAACATTCTTCTTTTATTGGTACAGCTGAGATTGCACTAAAAGTCAGTGTCCAAGGGCTTGCTGTCAAGCAGAACCCTTGTATCTTTTACTTGGAAAATTGATTTTTGAAAAGAAGTATAGGATTTCAAACTTAGTCAAATGAAATATCATCTACAGGTCTGAGATCATACCAGGATTTTTTTTTTTAATAAATGTATATGCTTTCCAAACATTTGTTCTAAAAGTCCACTCAGAACTTGAGTCTTCATCAGCTCATCTTGTATATTAGCTATCCTTCTCAGAGATTTGTGTCATCTTTATTTGTCCTCCATCATTTCCATGTTTTCTTTTATATTTCTCTTTCTCTATATAAACATCAGGTAAGGGTGTGTGTGTGTGAGAGAGAGAGAGAGAGAGAGAAGGTGAAGGGCATGGATCTATGTGTGTGATCTCAGCAGGAGACGTATGGTTGGTGCAAATGACCAGTTCCTTTGTTTCTTTTCATCTTGGGCTATTTCCAAAAATGTGGGACATAAATATTTAAAACTTTTATTAAAAACACAAGCTAGGTTTAACGAATAATTCCAAAAGTTCACTTCCAAAAGTAGATGTAAGAAAGAAAGAAAAGTGGTCGACAAGATTCCGAAGTACATGAGTTCAGAGACTCTTGTTTTTCCCTCTAGATATATATTTTTTAGAGTATACATCCCCTGGAGAAGGAAATGGCAACCCATTTCAATATTCTCACCCAGAAAATCCCATGGACAAAGCAGCTTGGTGGGTTACAGTCCATGGGGTCGCAAAGAGTCAGACATGACTGGGAGACTAAGTAAGTATGCATGAACCACTTCTGAAAATGTATATATTATCTCTATATTATATATATATGCACTATTTAATATTTATGCATTATATATATACATATACATATAAAATAAAGGAAAGAAACTCATTAGTCAGTTTTTGAGGATGCTGGGGAACCACCTTATTATTTTGAAAACTAGAAAATAAAGAGGAAGTTTCAAACATTAATCTTGCTAGTATATGAATCTAGTATATGATCTTCAGGGCAGGCAAATAACTAATGAGAAGAATTTTCTCCTTAGAGAAATACTGCTGATAAAAATTCAGTTGTCGTTAAGTCCCTCAGTTGTACCTGACTCTTTGCGACCCCATTGACAGTAGCACACCAGGCTTCCCTGTCCTTCATCATCTCCCAGAGCTTGCTCAAACTCATATCCATTGAGTCGATGATACTATCCAATGATCTCATCCTCTGTCGCCCCTTTCTCCTCCTGTCCTCAATCTTTCCCAGCATCGGCGTCTTTTAGGGATAACGGAATGAAGATAATGGATCTGGGCAATGATCCTCAAAGGATGCAGGCACGACAAGGTGGAAGACAGACAGACAGGAGATGCCTCTAATAGAAGGACACACGCCACCACCTGGGAAGGGGTTTGCAAATAAACAAGAAAATTTAAATCTTTTCCAGCCTTTACAGATAAACAGGCTTCTCAGGTGGCTCTAGGGGTAAAGAACCACCTGCCAACGCAGGAGACGCAAAAGACTCGGATTCGATTCCTGGGTTGGGAAGATCCCCTGGAAGAGGAAATGGCAACCCACTCCAGTATTCTTGCCTGTAAAATCCCAGGAATAGAGGTGCCTGGCAGGCTCCAGTCCACGGGCTCATGAAGAGTCGGACATGACTGAGTGAGCACACACAGATAAATAGCAGTTTATAGGAAAAACACAAAGGACAGAGGGTCATGTGATATGACTACAATCATCAAATCCAGCCTGGGAAAACGTCTATGAAACAAATGACCCAGCTTCTTTATTAAAAATATAAAGAGTGGGGAGGGAGGAAACATGGAGATGAAATCTGTAAATTATGAGACATACCAATCAACTGTAAATCAGTTATTTGAACTCTGATTCAAATAAAGTATAAAAAATAATGATAAGGAAGGATGTGAACCCAGATTGGATACTTGAAACCAAGGGATTATTATTAGTATTTTTTTTTAGGGGTGAAAATGCTATTGTAGTCACAGTGTTTAAATGTCTTATCTTTTAGAGGTCCCTGCTGAAACTTTAGAGACATTTTTGGAACATGACTTAAGCTAATTTGGGGGCAGAACAAGTGGGGTCATGAATGAATGAAGGGTTCATAACTGTTTAAATTGGGTGGTTGTTAAATCAGGTTCACTGCCATCCTCTTTACTTTTGAGTGTTTGAAAATGTGGACAAGAAAGTGTTTTTCCGGCGATGTACTTCCCTAACACCTGTCCTGAGAGCATAAAAGGCCTTAGGGAAAAGCAAGTTCTTACCCGTCACCGTCAAAAATGTCAGAGAGATGAGGAGGTTGATGCCCCAGTTCATGCTGGAAGTCAGAGCCATGGCGCGTCCTCGAATTCCACCAGGAAAAATCTCGCTCAGCACCAACCAGGGCACTGGAAGAAAGGGAAAAGTGGATGGGGAACAGCAAACCGGAGGAAAATCCACTGAAGCGACAGCCAGCTCCCTGACCTCCGCCCCACTGACCTCTGCGAGATTTGTGCTTGCAGGGCCGTGTCCTTCCACATGAGGAAGGAGGGATGTGCTTTCTTCTCTCTCCAGTCAAGTGAGAAACTGAGGGAGCTTGACGAGGGTCCCTGGAAGGAGGGGAGCCACATAAAGGGCTGGGGCAGGTGACACTGCCCTGGGAACTGCAAGCGGGAAGGGCAGTGGCTGGGGCCACCTGCCCACCACAGGAGGCAGCTTGGAGCCTCTGCCAAGCACACAGCCAGATGCTGGCTCTACCCACTCTCTTCTGGTTCCCGTCCTGTGATCTCCTCTGCCCCTAACCTTGGAGAGGTTCACCATCACCGCTACCGCGTGGGTGGGAGACAGAGCCAGGAGAGGGCAGGAGGAGACGGGCTCCACTCCCTCCCTCCACTCAGGCTCCTGGGCAAGCGGCAAGCTGGGTGGAGAGAAGCTCTCAGTTAAACAGAGCTCCAGGATTTGATCTGATATCAAATATTTGACTCTTTGAAAGGAGACTCTTCTTGACACAAGAACTGATCCGAGAGCTTTTTGTGATCTCAGAGTGACACAGACCCCTATAGGACCTGCCTGATGGGATTACGTGACTTCTGCTCACAGCCCATCAAATCCAGTTTGCCTAAGAGCTACAAATTCTTTCAATGGACGCAGCCCTTTACAAACCTTGTATCACTGGATCCTCGCTGAATCCCTCCCCATTAGAGACTAACATTACTTTTCCCCTCTTTTAAAGAAGAGGAAACTGAGGTAGAAAGGAGTTCATAATTTGCCAAAGTCCCAACACTGGCTTCCCAGGTGGCGCTAGTGGTAAAGAAATCACCTGATTCAATGCAGGAGACATAAGAGATGCAGGTTCGATCCCTGGATAGGGAAGATCCCCTGGAGGAGGGCATGCAACCCACTCCAGTGTTATTGCCTGGAAAATTGCATGCACAGGGGAGCTTGGTGGGCTACAGTCCACGGGGTCACAAAGAGTTGGGCATGATTGAGCGACTAGACCCTAACAGATCTCAGAGGTGGCCTGGAGCCCAGACCGTCTCTGGATCTCACGCTTTTTCATCTCGGTGCTCTTTTGGGAGTGGCTCAATAAATATTTGTTAATGAACGTGTAGATAAGGAGTATAAGCACTTCTGATTCTGAAGAAAGAAGGGCTTAGGAGTTGCCCCAGCCCTGGCTCAGTGCTGGCTCAGTCACCTTGTGTTGCAAACCCAGTGTTTACACGCAGACCAGCTGCATCATCCGCCCCAGAGGAGGAAGAAGCAAGAGGCTGAGGAGGGCCCCCCTTGACCCGCAACCACTCGGACTGCCTGTGCCAGAATCATGGAGCTGTCACCTGGGTCTCTGACTGAAGACTTACCTCTCGTGGCAGGATCATGCTCTGTAGAGAGAACATCTGCTCAAAGTAAATTTGCTGTTTCAAAGAAAAATATTTAAATTACAGAAGAGGGCTGCAAACACATATTTTTTTTCCCCTTGATTATTTGCTCCAAGTGAATCTACGTATGGTGACCTTGAGGGTATGGAAGAGAATTGCAAGCAAAGGAAGATGATTATTGTTGTTCTAATTAATAAGGAATTCCAAGATAACACTCCAGAGCCCTGCTCTCCACTCTGTGCCCCAAAGTCCTTCACCAGGTTTCTGCAGATTATATCCTTGGAGATCAGGTAACTTTGCCCTGAGCATTGCAAGACTGGGGATCTGGCTCTGAGAAGAATGAGAGGTGCGTGATTCTGGTGAAGCCTTTGTAACAAGGCTTTCCTTGAGCAAATACAAGATAAAAGTAGGTAAGTTCACTTTGTTGAAGACAAATCATCTATGCCACAGGCCAGTCCCCCGGGCTCCTTCCTGCCATGGGTATTTGATGCAGGTAGGGGTCCTGCTTTCGAACCGTGGTGTTGGAGAAGACTCTTGAGAATCCCTTGGACTTCAAGGAGATCAAACCAGTTAATCCTAAAGGAAATCAATACTGAATATTCATTGGGAGGACTGATGCTGAAGCTGAAGCTCTAAAATTTTCGCCACCTGTTGCAAAGAGCCCACTTATTGGAAAAGACCCTGATGCTGGGAAACATTGAAGGCAGGAAGAAAAGGGGACGACAGAGGATGAGATGGCTGGATGACATCACCAACTTGATGGACCTAAGTTTGAGCAAGCTCTGGGAATTGGTGATGGACAGGGAAGCCTGGTGTGCTGCAGTCCATGGGGTCTCAAAGGCTCGGACACAACTTAGCAACTGAACAACAACGACAATGTTAAAATAGCTTTAACACATCTCAGAATCATAAACAGTACAGGTTTTCGGATCCAAAGAGAGTGAAATAAAATCTGAAAGTGCTATTTGCAGCAAGATAGAACTTACTGAAGGGGTAGAGTCCCTCCATTGAAGTCTTAGGTGCAAGATGGTGCCAGAATTTTATGTCTCCACGTTCTCTGGAAAAGGGCTGTGAGTACCCAGGGCAGAGGGAATGGGGAAGCTGTTTCTCATAAGTAAAGAGCAAAGAGGTATAAACTGTCACAGGAAGTTAATATATTGATATTTAATAATAGGTGGATGTTTGTTTTTTTAAAACCCAAATGTTTTCCCAGTAAGAGAGCCTAATTTCTCACTACCAAAAATCAAGTTATTGCCACATGCCACTATAAAGTGGTGGCTCTCTCTGGAATAGTCAGAGATATAATAATTCTTCCACAGTGAGTGCAGTCATTCGCTGTAGGTGAGCAGGCCCTGCAACAATTCTCCTTGACATCTATTATTTCACCTTTTACCCTATTCTTCCAGGACCATCTCTGCAATACGTGCCTCTATAAATGTCTGCGTGAGTCTTTAAACTCTTCTCCAGGTTACAAGGATTGAGGAAATTTTGGACTTGCGGGGAGATGATTGTCCACAAACACTGAGATTCCTATTTCACATGGTATTCAATCACCAAGGCTCCCTGTCAGAACAGGCCTGATTCAGATGAAATCTGTGGTGTTTATGGCTGCACAGAGCGCCATAAAACGACCATGAGGGACAAACTCACTGAAGTGGCTCTGTCTGCAGCAGAGGATAAATAGGGCCAATCAGTGGAAACGGCTGAGCTCCGCCATGTCAGCAGCCACGCTTATCTCCCGCTCCTACTATATTTCTGCCACTGCTGGACGTTTATTTTCCCACTGAGGCTGTCCTTCTCTCCCTGCGCTTTCAGATGTAAACCCTGCAGCATTTCAGCCATGATTTCCATCTGGCTTGAGCGTTTCCTGAACCACATGCCATGGCAGCCTTAGGTCTGAAAGACTCATGGAAGGCTTGAAACTCTTACTTTACCTTGAAACTCTTAGTGAACCCCTAGCAACTTGGAGGAAGTTCTACACTTAGGCTGTAGAGTTCCCAACAACCTGATGGAGCCAGTGTCCTACTCTTTATAGGAGTGAAGCCAAATCCTATGGCTTTTACTGACTTTGCAGGCAATGTGCAGCAGACCCAGCTCTCCTCTTACTGCAAAGAGGTACTTAAAATGTGAATTTGAAAGGGAGTATGGCCATTTCCTTCCAACTAGATGTTTAAAAAAAATTATGATCTTATAAGTTCCTTGAGTGGGAAAATCTTGTCCTTTAAAAATATACTCCTCCATAAGCTGCCATTGGGCTTCCCAGGTAGCTCAGCTGGTAAAGAATTCGCCTGCAATGCAGGAGACCCTGATTCAATTCCTGGGTCGGGAAGTTCCCCTGGAGAAGGGATAGGCTACCCACTCTAGTATTCTTGGGCTTCCCTGGTGGTTTAGGTGGTAAATAACCCATTTGTAATGCAGCAGACCTGGGTTCGATCCCTGGGTTGGGAAGACACCCTGGAGAAGGGCATGACAACTCACTCCAGTACTCTTGCCTGGAGAATCCCCATGGACAGAGGAGCCCAGGGCTGCAAAGGGTCGGACACGACTGAGCGACCAAGCCCAGCACAGCAAACCTCCATCCACAATATCAGCAGTGGTATTGTAGCTTTACTTTATTTTTTCTATTCTCCCTTCTCTCAGTCTCTCTGAAGTTTGCTCACTCCTCACTGCTTTTAAAATAGATACTTTATTCAATTTAAAAAAATAAATAAATAAAATAAAAGATACTTTATTCAAGAATATTAGCAAACCAAGAAAAGCAATGAAATAAAGCCTCAATGTTCCCCAATCTTTCTATTTTAATGATTTCTAGTCAGAATCAATCAGAAATGATTTTCTAAAATATTTTATGAGAAATTGGATTACATGGATTAATTGGATTAAATTTTAAATCCTTAAAACATTCCAGAGTTAAAAATGGAACCCTATTGTGAGCAGGTACCAATTGGAAATAAGAACGTGGCAGTGGTCTCCAAGCTTTCATGCTTGTGTAGCCTTTAAAATAATTAGAAAAGCTAAGTACTTTCTTTCATTTATAAATCACATCTCACTTTTTTTAACCATAAATTTAAATGACAGCCAATTATGCAATTTCAGTGATATTTTATTTATTTATTTTTGATGGTATTTAAACTCTATGTTTATAATAGAGAATATTTGTATCACTCAAATAGTTCCAGTGGAATTTAAATACCATCTCTATTTGATATTCATCTTCATCCATTTAAAAATATAGCAATATGGCATTTAACATAAAGTTTACATTTTTAAATAGATGAAATGTTCTCAAGAATAATAAAAATTGATGGGGAGTTGAAAAATTTTTATAATAGCAGTGTCACTACATTCTTTAAGTTAACAAAAAAAATTTGTTGTAATGATGTATCAGTTGATAACTTGATTAGCTCAGCCTATATATTTGCTGAAAGCAAATTATTGGAAATATCCAGGCTTTAGAGGTATTATTATATAGTCATTAGAGTCATTTTTCCATACCACACCTACACCAATATCTCCAACTGCCTTTTTCATTA